TAGGGTGAAAGAGTAGCAAAGGGAGTAAATGCGGGGTACGGAGCACCAAATCGCCGACTTCACTCTTAGTCTCACAACGGAGAGAAGGAAACACTCACAGAGGAGGCTTTCACGGATGAGAGAAATGACTCTCGTTGCAGAGAAAAGTTTAAGATTTTTTAGAATCTTTTATAAAGACTTTAAAGAACAATTGTACGAGCACTACCTATTATCCTTAGTCTGAGGGAAAGGGATCCTTTTTGGATCCCTTCCACCAAATCCACCCAATCAATCAATCCGGGTCCTTGAAATTTGATTCAACGGCTACAAACAGAGAACTCCTTTAAAAGTTATAATAACTTTAACCGTTGGATCAATTTTAAGGGCCCAGATTAGATGATTAAGTGGATTTGGTGAAAAGGATCAGGAAGGGATCCATTTCTGAGTCTGAGGGCCAAATGCGGTCGTCAATTGTACTTTTGGAGCATTACCTACCGTGTTTTCTTGGAGACAAAACTTCTTGGTTATATCTCGTATATTTTGCGATGATTGGTGGCAACATGCATGCTTCCACTAAGATGTATCATCGTTTCAATAACAAGCTGGCACCAATATATTATAGTCCGTTTCATATCTTAAGTCAAGGTTGGACAAGTGGCATGCATATTGATTCTCCATCCTCGGATAATACTATGGGACTAAATTTATAAATAAAATTTGAAAACTAAATGATTTATTACCAATAAGAATAAGTATGTTTATCAACGTTTAAGTATTAACTCAATCATCAACTTACATATCACTTAGTTTACAAAATTTTGTCTACAAATTCAGTCCCATAGCATTACCCCTCCATCCTCTAATGACATCTACCATTTTCACTATTAAAAAATGAACGAAATAAAACTTAAGCAGCCATTAAAACTGTTCAAAATGAATGCCATAAAGTATTTCCTTCACTTTGAACGCTAAGACCATCTCCAACCCTTGGGCTAAAAGCCAAATTTTTTAGCCTGAAAAATTTAGCTTTTAGCCCATAAACATCTTTTCTGCTCCAACCATTCTACCCTAAAATTTTAGCCCGGAATTATTAAAGAATGAAATTAGCCTAAATTTTTTTCTTAAATCAATTTTAAAAAAAAAATATGTAGATTATTGTAAATTAATTTTATGAACATTTTAATCTAAAAAAATTTAAATTCCGATAAACATTTCGCATTTAGCCCGGGGGGAAAGCTGGGGGGGTATTTGGCCCAGAAATAGCATTTGCCATTTAGCCTAAAATTTTAGCATGGTTGGAGAGTGTTTGGGGGGGTAATTTGGCTTTTAGCCCAGGGTTGGAGATGGTCTAATAGTGATAGTTTACACAACATTTCTCTTATTTACCACTTACTTTTATGTAAATTGTCATCTGTCATGGCATAGTTACTCTAACTAATAGTTAAGCCATTTGACTGAGATGAAAAAATAGGATAAGAAATGATTGGGTAAACTTTTCTTTTTCGCAGTGTTCGTTTTGTAACCTTAACAGTTTTTCGGTTATCGGTTTTTATGTCCACCCTTATTTCGATTTGTCATAAAGAAAATAGTTTCTGAATGTACTTTTTTTCTTTTGACAAAATTCAGCACCAATTTTTTACGGCGGGAGTTTACCTCTAACCTCTAAGTATTAAAAATGGGGTATTTATCATAAATGATTTCTGAAATTGACTCTCACCATCAAGATAGTCCTTGAAATTGAAAATCAATCAATGTAGTCCCTGAAAATAGATGTCACAAATCAATGTGGTCATTCTGTCACAATTCTTTAAAAAATCTGTTTAGTGCTGGTGTGGCACATAAATGGACCCCATAAGTTTTTTTTTTTCTCACAAATGGTCGTTGAAATTGACTCACAACATCAAAATAGTCACTGAAATTGAAAATTGATCAATGTAGTCCTGCAAGTAAGCGTCTCAAATCAATGTAGTCATTCTGTCATAATTCTGTCAAAAATTCTGCTATGTGCTAATGTGACACATAAATAGGTCACATAAGTCTAATTAAATTAAAAAAAATTACAAATTGGCTTAATAATTTAATAGTTAATAAAAAAATTGTCAACCCAAAAACCTAGTCCTGCAATCACCTTCGATCCTAGTCCACATTTCTATACCTCCTTTGCTCTATTCTCTGGAAAAAGAAAAAAAATCTCAATACACCCATCTTTATACACTTCGACGCCCTTCCTGAATTGAACCTAGATCGAGATCACCTTTGGTGACAGCTTGGCCCATTGACAACGACTTTTGGGACATCACCTTTAACATTTAAGTGATCAACATCCTCATAACCTTAATTTGGTAGAGCTTGTTCGGTGTTTCCTTGGTGGTCTGGTGATGCAAAGAACGACAGGGTCTACCTTGAGATAATGAGGTTATAACTGAGGTGCGTCCATTATAGGTTGAAAACTATTTCCACACCCCCTCTTGGGCCTTGGTCAAGCCTTGTGCCTTTGAGAATTTATGGGAGGGATCTCTCTTCGGAGTAGGCCCTACTATAAGAAAAGAAAAATTCATTGTGCAAAAAGGTATTTAGATAACTTTTTTAATTAATTATTAAACCCACATTAGTACATAACAAATTTTTTTATAAAAATTGTGGCAAAATGATCATATTGATTTGCAACACCTATTTTTAAAGACTACATTGGTTGATTTTCAATTTCAGGGACCATATTGATGATGTGGGTCAATTTCAAGGACTATCTTGATGGTGTGGGTCAATTTTAAGGATCATTTGTGATAAAAACCCGTAAATCTTGTGGGGCCCATTTATGTGCCACATCACACTTAACATAATTGTAACAGAATGACCATATTAATTTGCGACACCTATTTTTAGGGACCACATTAATTGATTTTTAATTTTAGAACTATCTTAATGGAAAGGGTCAATTTCAAAGACCATTTATGATAAAAACCTTTAAAATGATGCTTCCATTATCTGAAGGAGGCAAGTCAACCTAATTACAAATGTTGTTTCTATTTTTCTGAAGAGTAATGTCAGGAAAACTAAATTTGTAAACAAAATTTGCAAATTAAACAAATTATCACTAATAAGAATGAGCATATGTATGAACGCTTAAGTAATAATTCAATCATTAATTTTCATGTCATTCAATTTGCATTACCCTTTTGTGAATCATAATTTGTATATGTCACAGAGAAACAGATATAACATCAACTTTTTTTCGTATATGATTGTACCAATGGTAAATACATCTAACAAGAAAAAGTTTCATAACCGAACCAAACTTATTGAGCATAGCTAGACCATTGCTGCATTGGAAAATCAGCAGTACTAGTACTGTTGTCACTTACGGATGGTCCGACGGGAAGCCATGACCGAGCCCCAAAGAGTGAAGACAACGGAGGTGGTGATAGCGAAGAAGAAGAGGAAGACGAAGAAGCAGCAGCCTCAGCAACAGCAGAGGATGATAGAACCATCTGATCAGGGGCAGAGCCACCAAGGGACTAGGGTAGTCCCTGGCCCATCCTGACTTTATATGAGGTGGGAACCTCATAGAAGAAAATGAAGCAAACGACGTCGTTAAGTTTTGATTTTAAATTTTTTCGGCTGTCTAATGAAACGATAAGTTTGGCATGAGAGTTTTAAAAGAGATGTGCAATTTTAAATGGAAAAAGCAACCCCCCTTCTGGTTCAATTCTCTCACCTAACAGTAATATACACCCTATAATTTTCTAAAGCAACCCACCTTCTTTATTTGCAAACCTCTCCCCCTTGTCCTTTTTCTACTTCTTTGTATTTTCTTTAACCTTCCACAACCTACCTCTTACTTGGTTGTCTGGGTTTTTACATTTTTTCTTCTTAGTATTGAATTTAAGAGAATTTTTTCAATTTTGTGAGGATTACACAAATTGCATATGTCAACATGTTATGAATTCAACTTTTTACACACACTCATATATATATATATATATATATATATATACACATAGGGGTGGGTTCAAAAAACCGAAAACCAAACCGAACCGAGGCCGAAAAAAACCGAACCGAAAAAACACCGAACCGAAACTGTCAAACCGAACCGAACCGAATCTGACCGGTTCGGTTTCGGTTTTTGAGGTTCGGAAACCGAACCGAACCGAACCGAACCGATATATATATATTTAATTATTTTTGTAAATATTATAAATAGTTTAGTCATACAATCATAACAAAACATACCTTGTTGCTAAGTTGGTTTCGGTGAACCTTTTCAAGCCCCAAGGCACGGGTTCGAACCTCCAGGATGTAGATGTTTTTTAATTTTTTTGGAGAACTTATACTTAACAAAACCCTTTAACCCTAGCAGCCATACCCATACCTTTTATTTTTTTTCATTCCCTTCCTCTCTCTCGTTCCCTGCCTCCTCTCTCCTCCAGTGTAACCCTAACCCAGCGCAGCCGAGCCTCCTCTCTCCCTCGCTGGGTCTTCAACTTCAATCGCTCTGTCTCTCTCAATCTCTCAGGCGACCCACGACGCCGCGACCCTTTTCCCTTATCCCTCTCCTCTGTACTCTGGACCCTCTCTCCTTCCTTCCCAACTCCGCCGCTCTTCCGCTTCGTCTTCTTCCTTCACAGCGATTTTGTATTTTGTATTTTTTGGGTCTATCTTACTAAGCAATTTTTTGGGTCTATCTTACTGAGCAATCTGATTTAACTTTCTATTTGATTTTGTATGTTTCCTTTTCATTTTCCATATTTATGTTTGACTGTAGGTGATTGAAGCTCCTTTACCAAAAGCACCGCTTGATACTGGAATTGTTTGTCACTGGCTTGCTATAGAAGGTGTACAACCTGCAATTCCAGAGAATGCTCCTCTAGAAGGTTTTTCTCAAAGTTTATAGATGTGGCGGCGGCTGGGAGCTGCACTTTGCTTTGGAACTTAGGGTTCTTTTTGTTATGGTTGTTTCAAACATAGATATTTACTAGAGCACTAATTAATCCCTTGCATTTCGACTTTAGGAAAGCATTGCTATGGAGTTTGTGAACAGGCTTGAGGACTGGACCAAACTCATCAAGATTTCGGATCCTATGGAAGAAGGTTGCAGGCTTGGCCCTGTTGTTAGTAAGGGGCAGGTAAATCAACTGTCAACAATTTCTGCATTTTATGTGAAGTTTATAAATCAAACTTCCAATATAGGATATGTTACATTTACTTGGTTGTGAGGTTTTTGTAAAAATAGAAAATTTGAGTGGTATGTAATTATTAAGTTGCAGTGTTTTTTATTTTGTTTAGCTTTGATGAGAGGATTAAAATAGTAATTTCAAAGAATTTTGGTTGACAAATAATGTGAAATGGACGCTAACTAGAGATGAGGATTTCAACTGCAGAGCAGCACATTGGGCTGACCTGCATGCCCTTCTGTACAATGCATTACCACCAAACCTGTTTCTTTGGGGTCACCATTTCCTATCTTTCTCCATTTCCAGTGACAAGTCTTCAGTTATAGTGAAGGCTTCATCCCATCAGACTAATGAAATCATCGAAATTGTCGGTGATTTGCTCGTTGCAGCGGATGGATGTCTCTCTTCGATCCGCCAAAGTTTTGTCCCTGACCATAAACTGAGGTTTGTTATGTCAAGTGTCAACTTTTTCATGAAAATTTTCATATTTGGAGCTTGTAGTGTGTTGTGATTCATGATATTGTGTGTGTTTTGTTAGGTATTCGGGTTACTGCGCATGGAGAGGGGTGCTTGATTTTACAGGAAATGAGAGTTCAGAAACCTTAACCGGCATCCGAAGGGAATACCCTGAGCTTGGGAAATGCTTGTACTTTGGCTTAGGTTCTGGGACGCACACCGTGCTATACGAGCTTCTGAACCGAAGGCTGAATTGGATTTGGTATGTCCACCAACCGGAGCCTGATCTGAAGCATAACTCGATGACCATGAAAGCGACCAGCAACATGATCCAGAGTATGCACAAAGAAGCAGAGAAAATGTGGCTTCCAGAGTTTGTGAGAGTGATCAAGGAAACAAAAGAGCCTTTCTCGTGGCTTGAATGATTATGCACTTCTATTTGCATTCTTGATGGGTCTATCTTATGTTGTGGTTGTTTTGCATTTTTTGGAGGAAAAAAAAAAAAAAAAAAAAAAAAACCGAAACCGAACCGAAAAAAACCGAAAAAAATTTGGGCCGAACCGAACCGAACCGAAATTTCGGTTTGGTTTCGGTTTTGGCAAAAAACCGAACCGATCAGAACCGAACCCAGCCCTATATACACATATATACATATATTTGTGAAAGGCCCATCCTCATTCAGAATTCTGGCTCCGCCACTGCGAAAGGCCCATCCTCATTCAGAATTCTGGCTCCGCCACTGCATCTGATAATAAATGCTCATAGGTTGCCTCTGCATATCAACCAACTCAGAATAGCTAACAAGATTTCTTGAGGTTGAAGGCACCTCGTCCGACGAATGGAATGCTTGAGAGTGAACAATCGGCTCACTGGATGTGGCAACGGACAAAAGGGTATTTTGAGGAGCAGAATTGCTCAACTGGGTCGGCGGAGGAACGGCGGTTGACGACAGGAGTCTGACGTTTTCAGGGAAGTTGAGTTTGGCCTTGTTGCCTCTGAATCGGAGGGCAGCTTGATCGTAGGCTTGGGCGGCGGCTTCGGCTGTTTCAAAGGTGCCTAACCACACCCTGGCAGCCTTGAAGGGGTCTCTAATCTCAGCTGCCCATTTCCCCCACGGTCTTTGCCTCACTCCTCTGTATCTTCTCCTTATTGGCTCTGCTATTTCGGGCGCACTGTATACATATCTATTACTTGGAGTTGGAGGGATTGCTGTTGTGGTTGTCCTGGTGGTTAAGCCTTCTGCGGATATTGGTCAAGAGAAAAAGTCATTTTTTTAACTAAATTGTTCTGTTCCAATGCCACGCATTTTGCGTGAAGGAGAGAGCTTACAGAAACTGCATGCTTTTTGTAATTTAAAAAAAAAAAAAGTAGAAAAGAACAGATAAGTATAAAGAAACAACAAAATCACAATTATTCACATATTGGTTAAACAAATAAGAGTTTAAACAAATTAAACCTTGACTAAACTATGATATTACTCTCATTCTTTAACTGAACTAGTCTGCCACTCTACGTGCAGAATAGAGCTTTTGAAAATTTTCCGCATTTTGTAATTTTATTTATCTTTGAAGATAAGTAGACAAGAACAAGCAAACAAAACCGATAGAAAATACAAATCATAATTGTTCTTATTTTGGAGTATTTAAGTACTTCATGTGTAAGGAATTAGAAGCGTGCACGACTTTCGTACAATTAGAACAACTTGGGAGATTTTCTTTTGCTTTAACCGCAAGTCACTCTATCGTGTTAAATGTAAAAAGGAAATTACCCCCAAAAGCAGAGGATGGCCCCAGAATGTGCTTTGGAAATTCATCGAAAGCTCTACAAAGCCTTGTAACCGACTCGGACAACGGACCACCGCCGCCACCGCCTTCTTCCTCTTCTTCTCTTCTTCTTTTAGTTCCAACACTGCCCCATGAACTAGTCCTTGAATCAGAATTAACACCTGCAGCAGCCACCTCATTTTCATCTCCGGCCACCACATGCGTCAAGGCCGATACCATCGCCGACATCTCTCTCTCCCTATCCAACTGCAACAGCATTGACGATGCGGCGGACGCTAATATCCCACTTCCACCACCGCCAGCCCGCTGTCGTTGCTGATGTGAAATAAGCGGGGGTTCATTGAGCCATTCTCCAATGTTATGATGTCCTCCTTGTCCCTCCTCAATGTTGGTGCGCCTTGCGGCACGTTGGTCGTTATTACCTCTTGAATTCGCCACCTTTAATACACACATATAGAAATAGATATGATTGATGAGATAATATTTGTTGATATATCTATCTGTATCTACCCAACAAAACTATAAGCACACACAACACAACATACAAAACCAGGTTTACTACTGTTTACGTGTAAATTCTCTCTTGTCAAGAAAACCTACACGCCCCACCACCAGACACGCAGACTTGTTACTTATAGCTTTGAACCGTCATCTAAATATAATATATATGCAATTTATAGTTGGGACTAGCAGATCGATTTATGTAAACGCCGCCATGGAAATCATGTCGGTTAATTCAATTGGTCCATCTTCATGCAGAAGGAACCCATTATTTAATAATGGATAAATATATACAGGAAGGAATTTTATCGAGTCAAAAGAGGCAGTATGAACTTAAAACCACAAAGTGTGAACATACAGATGTCAACATATATATATATGTGTGTATGTGTGTGTGACAGGCTGGCGTTTGTGTGGGGGCGTTTGTTGTTGTGGCGTTTGTTGTCAGGGGGAATCAATCAACCAACATGATCGTTTCGAGTAGAGTTCGATCAGTCGACATGAATTATTAACTTGGTTTGTTGCAACATGGATTAATCTCTTATTACCAACTACCTAGTGAAATGAAACCTGTTTCCTTAACTTTGAAAGTCCAAGTGCTCAAGTTTGTACATCCCGGTTATTTAATTAGAGAAAAATATAAGTTTAAGCAAAGAATTGATTTGGGATTGTGATGTTTTTATAAAAAAAAAAAACAGCTTATTAAAAAAGGAAAACTAATAAAAAGGGTTTGAAAACTTTGAGTTTTAATGATAATGACAAAATAAAGGGTAAAGTAAATAGTACCAGTTTTGACTTTTTAGTGTAAAAATATGGTTTTTCGTTAAAGTGAACAGTACCGTGGGTTTTTCGTTAAAACTCCCTATTAAAAAATGTGGAACATTAAATATGTTTGGCAAAACAAAACATAAAAGTCTTCTTTAAAAACTGCTCTCAGTAAAATAGTATATAAAAGCAGAAGTAAAGTCTACTATGCTTCTAAAACAAAGTGTTTTTTTATTTCAAAGCATAGTAATCAATGTTTGTTAAATAAAATTTTCAAATAGCAAATGTACCCCCACATATTTTACAAAATTATAATCATTGCCTCTATGTTATTCTCTTTAACAATTATCATATTATATTAAATAGTATACCATATTTAGTCATTTAACATATTTACAGTAATTTATATATAAGTTTACTAAACATTCAGACACTATTTTTTTGTTAAAAACACTTTTACAAAAAAAAATTATCAAACACTCAACAACTTTATTTTACAGTTATTTATTCTCATATTATAGCAAAAATATTTTTTTATAAAGTACATCAATACCAAACTAACCTGTAATATACCGACTTGTGTTAATGTGTTATGTATATTAGGAGTCTTTACAGTTCTTTTTATCACATTTGAAATCATTAATTAGATTCTCCATTCTCTTGAGTTCCATGTCGACCCACGTCTTTGATGGAAAGACAATTTACAACTTGGTTGCACATGACAATGACGGTGTTGCCTAGTTCCAAATATTATATGTATACCAAGTCAACTTGGACTTGAGTCTAAGCAAATACCAACCATCATAAGTTTGCGTCTTTTATTGGTCTATCTTGTTTGTTATTATAGTTCTGAGAGACGCAAAAGGTTTACGCGTTTACTTTTTAAATGAATGAATGGATATACTACAGTAGTCACCGCTAACTAGATAGGTCCACAGTTTCACATGTTCAATTCAAAAGAGCAAGTGGGGAAGGGGGTTGCTGCGTCGAAGGAAGGGAGTTCTAATGAGTTTGCCTTTGATAATTTTTTTTGAAGTTTCAACGTAAAATTAATTAGTAGTATAGGGTAATTTAATTATTTATAAATATATGTAAAGTTTCTTTTTCGACGTGGAATTTATATTTTCAATATTTTTTTCATGTGTGACTAACTTTTAAACTTAATACGTGAACAACATAAATTGGACAACGTAGACCACGTGTAGCTATTAAGCTTCACACAATGGAACAACATGCTTTAATACTAACAAGAAAGTTGGGGAAATCCAATTGGTATGAGAAATAGCCGAATTATTTATAGGTAATGCTAGAGAGACCAAAACTTAAACTAAATAATGTGTTACCAATAGAAAATAAGTAATTTAATCAACATTTAAGTGATAATCTAATTTTCAACAACAACATCAATTGGTTTACAAAATTTGGTCTCCCTATCATTAAACTTATTTATAATATGAGATTCATAATCTCAATAAAGGGCAGTTGGGGAGTGATGGTGATGCCTACGGCCGGTAAGAGAGCTTTTTGTTTCCCAAAATCCAATTGCATAACCGTCACAAACAACTTTAATCGATCTAGGGAATCCCTGAAGCAATGGTGACAAAAGGAATAACTTGTAAATCTTTACATTTTCCCATTCGATCCGATCCTCATCATTCGTCGTTGTGCGTGAGTTGTTGTGCGTGGCCATTTCATAGCAGATAAGAATTCTCTCTGCATCTAATTCTCAGTAACTTCTCGTAGTTGTGGGTAGAGTGACGATTTACCCTATATTCATGGGCGTTCTTTTTCCTGCTAGTGTTCCTTACTGATGCGAAAATTATCTTAACACACAAATTTAACCCTCTTTTATCAATTGTAGTAAAGAATGTAAGTAGGGATCGTTCTGGACCGGGGATTAGGAGGGCTTGCTAATAACCTCTAAACTAACTCAAAAACATAAAACTAAACTTAAAAACACTTAACAAGACTCACAAGACTCAAAGCAAACTTAAAATACTCAAAACAACTTAAAACAACTAAATAAACTTAAACTAGACACTAAGAATTACTTTGGACAAAAATTGACTTTTACTTGAATCAAAACACTTAAAAATACAAACTAAAACAGATTTGAAACACTTTGAAACGAGAAACTAAAAGGGGGGTTTTGATTTGGATCAAGTTGTAACAAACAAACAAGTATGAAAAACTAGACAGATTGTAAAACAAATGTGAGAAATAAGATGATGGATGAGATAGCTAGAGGCTTTTTCTCCACACATGACATATATGCAAATAATTCGATTTCCAGTTACTACTTCATTGAATTATGAACGACAATGCTCCAAATTAACCGTGACATCACTAGTTAACTCTCAGATTTTCCTTGTTTTATTGGATTGGATGACATCATTTGACAACCCAAAACATTCTTCAAAAGTTCCCTACATGACATCATAATAGAGATACAATCAAAGATCATTACGTTTAA